TAACTAATTTGGATGTAAATTTTAAAAAATAAAAAATAATAAAATAATAAAGTGGTTAAAGAGGTAGTAGACCCAGGTCATAAGGGAAGGCAGTGGATTACAGTAGTTAAGAGCTTGAGGTCTAGACTTGGGCCAGTTGGGTTTGGATTCTGGCTCTCTTGTTTACCAGATTTGTAACTCTGTTTAGATTTCAGTTTTCCAAGTCTCTTAGAGCTAATAAGGTTAAATTAAAATAATGCATAAACACATAGCACAGTACCTGGCTCAAATGCTCAATAAATGGCACTTTCTGTTGTTTTATTGGAAAGATCTTTTTTTTTTTTTAATTTTTTTTTAATGTTTTATTTATTTTTGAGACAGAGAGAGACAGAGCATGAACGGGGGAGGGGCAGAGAGAGAGGGAGACACAGAATCGGAAGCAGGCTCCAGGCTCTGAGCCATCAGCCCAGAGCCCGACGCGGGGCTCGAACTCACGGACCGCGAGATTGTGACCTGAGCTGAAGTCGGACGCTTAACCAACTGAGCCACCCAGGCGCCCCATATTGGAAAGATCTTTAACATTCCCTCCTTCCTGTTGGTTGAAAGCTACTGCCCACTTCCTATAAGAAGTAGCCTTATTGGGTGTAAATTCAGCCTCGTGTAATGGTTCTTTATTTTTAACAACAGAAACCATTTCAAAATGGAATTTTATGTAGAGCCTAGTCTATAAATAAGATGAAAGTGAAACTATTTTGAATTCCGGTGGTACAGGTCATGTATGGAACCCAGGACCACCAGTACGTGGTGGTGCCTTTGCTCTTTACAGTAACCCCTGAAATATTTTCATGATATCCTGGGCTTTATGGAATATGGTTTGGAACTTTGGAATCTGTACAGCTTTGTTAACGTGTAGAAAACACCACAAAGATTTTGTTTGACAAGATGTACATAAGAGACACTGATACCAGATTTTGATTACCCAATATTGATTGCCTCTGGGAAAGAAGGGAAAGAAATAGTGCTAGTCAATGAGGACTTATTTTTATTTGTAATTTTAATTGGTTTTTAAAGCAGAGTATGCTCATAGCCCTTGTGTAACTTCGGAAAACATATAGATAGAAAAAATACAACAGGATGCAAATATGATAGTATTTTAAGTTACTCTTTGGAAGTGGGATATATGAGTGACTCTTACTTTCTTTGTACTTCTCTGTTTTGCAGGTTTTTGCCCCCATATTTCTCTTTCTTTTTTTCTTTAAGATTTTATTTTTAAGTAATCTCTACACCTGACATGGGGCTGGAACTTACAGCCCCAAGATCAAGAGTTGCGTGTTCCACCGACTGAGCCAGCCAGGTGCCCCTGCCCCAAAACTTCTATTTCTTTCCTTTCCTTTTCTTTTTCTTCTCCTTTCTTTTCTTTTCTCTTCTCTTTTCTTTTCTTCTCTTTTTTCTTTCCTTTCCTTTTCTTTTCCTTTTTTTAATGTTTATTTATTGATTTTGAGAGAGACTGAGTGTGAGTGGAGAAGGGACATAGAGAGAGACGCAGAATCCAAAGCAGGCTCAAGACTCTGAGCTGTCAGCACAGAGCCCAATGTGGGACTCAAACCTATAAACCAAAAGATCATGACCTGAGCTGAAGTCAGACACTTAACCAATTGAGCCACCCAGGCACCCCCCTGTCCACAGATTTCTTAAAGCTAGAAAAAGAATAAAAATATTAATCATTTCTTGTCAAAAAAGGGATTTCAAACTAAGGGAAATCACGTTGCCCTTAGAACAATAATTGTGGAAGCAGTTTTGCAAAGGAAACCAAAAAAAAGCAAACTGCTTGCTGGTCAGTTTGGAAGCCCTTCAGTTAGTTCTGCATTGTCATTGCAATTATGTGTTATCTACACCTTCAGGTGCCAGAACCTATGATCACCTCAAGAAGACACGAGAGGAGGAGCGCCTTAAACGCACCATGCTCTCCGAAGTTCTCCAGTACATCCAGGACAGTAGTGCTTGCCAGCAGTGGCTCCGCCGGCAAGCTGACATGTGAGTAATTAGTCCAGGAAGAAGGAGCATCTTCTTGGATGCTTTGGCTTTTACTTGTAGTTTCAGACATTTCCGTGGGTACCCCACCCACATGGCAGAAGAGTAATAATTGGGTAGCTAGAAAAACTCAGAAAACTTTAGCAGTCTGTCTCAGAACTGTGGTACTGACTGTTTTGAGGAACATAGCTGCCCCCCCCCCCCACTTTGCTACTTTGATCTTATTTTTAAAAATTAGAAAATTCCTCCACCCATGCCTCCTCTCTCCCCCATATCTACTGGAATGATTTCCATTGGTGAATCATGTCCTTGTCCTTTCCCTGTGATTGGTCTCCATTATGTTCCAGACTAAGAGGTCTTCTTAACAAATCCAAGTAATTTCTTATACCCCACGGAACAGATTTCCCTTCCTGTTTAGTATAGTAGGATATCCTGTAAAACAGTGAAGTCTGTCTCATTACATCCCTTTAAAGTAACCAACCTAATAAATGGCACCCAGTCCACATGGGCTTTTGGAAATTGCCGTCTTTGGCGTGACATTAGTTAAATTCCTCTTCTTTGTTCTAGTGATTCTGGCCTGAGCCCTTCTATTCCGATGGCTTCGAATTCAGGTAATTATTTTTCCAGGCTGGAGCAAGACTTGATGGTGAAGTTTTCATTCTAGGGATTCACCCAGTAGTCCCTTCCCCCTTTCTGTGAGCAGTGTGCTTAGGCAGAGGAATGGTAAGTGTTATCCCAGTTTGTAAACATTAGCAAGTTTCAGTCTCTTCAGGGTTTGAGTACAGAGACAAGGGAAGAAAGAGCTCCAGAGAGGTGTTTTCTTTATTTTACCAATGCTCATGAGCAGTTCATTTGCTGCAGTTGTACCTACCACAGCTTTTGAGATTTGTCCCACAGTGGGTAAATTAAAGGCTTTGTATCCTGAGCAGAAATTCAAGGATTTCTTAATAATTTGGAGACTTGAGGTATTTGTTTGTTATCTTTACCTCTTTGGGTGTGTCCTCTATTTTGGGGTTAGTTGACAGAGCAAGATTAAGCCATATGATAATCTGGTAATCCTTTGTTCTTGGTCATCAGTGAATGGTAATTTGGAGTGGAATAAGTTCTAGAGTTCTGATCCAAAATTGTGGTGTTTGTTTGCCAGTTCTGTTGGTGGTTATTCTCACCCCTGCTCCATATGCTGTATTTGCCACTTTCCCTTATTAAAGCACACAGACCATGCTACTGTGGAGCCTGAGCTGGTCAGAAAGATGATGCACCTGCACTTTTACCACGCTTGAAACAGTAGACATTTGATCCCATTTAAAGTCTCTCAGGTTCAGGGTCTAGACCAGGCTCAGAAAAGGCTACTTTAGGAATACTTTTTAAAAAATTTATTCCTTTGTTTCAGGTGATTATTTCTTAATACTTAGAAAAGAGAGCCTTTTAGAGAGTAGTCAGGACAGCTGAATCCAACTTTTTTTTACAAATTTCATACTTCTAATCCTGCCCCCTGAATCTACATACAGAAATACAAACAGCAATAATGTGACACGATAATAATTAATAATTTGGCATTTGTGTTTTCTGAACTATTTATTCTGTACTGATTTATTCTTTGTTGCTTCCAAGGCTGGTGTTAGCCTTTCTCACCCCCTGTGTTTAGGTTGAGGAGACTCCTTGCTCCTCTTCATGTTCTCAGTTGGTCCTAAGGCAGTGCAAAGTAGAAAGTCTGGATCATTAATTACAACCTAGCCTCTGGTAACTTTGTTGAGGTACTAAATGATTTTAGTCTCCCTTTTTTAGTGTTTAGGGTGAGTCTAGACCTGTTGGTTATGGAGAACCCCTTATCCCATTGTTGATCCTATAGAGAAGCCTGTTTTCTAGCAGAGCAGCCTATAACAGTCCCTCCTCTCTCTCCCCACCTCTTAAAAGTCAACACCAATAAAACTTTTCTTTTGCCTAACCCAGCCCATCTATCTCCCCACTAATCCCAAATATACATTCAAAACAAAACCAAAAACTTTTGTCCTTCAGACTTCCCATCCTGAGCAGTGACCTCATACTTGGGTTTCTTTCCCTGTGTGTGAGTTCACCTCAGCTTCTAGTTTGCCATATAATGGCTCATTGTTCCTCTGTGTGTATCTTTCAGGTAAACAGGACTACTTTGGAAGGAACAGATATTCCCTCACATAATAAATAAGAAGGGCCTTTTGCTGGCCTAACAGTCTGCCTTTGATCTGAAGGCAAATGGTACTTGGTTAATTACCATGTTTGCCTTGTACTCCTGGCAGAGTAGTGAGGATTAGGAAATGTCTCTCCTGCAGAGTTGTTATTTCCATTCATCAGCTGTCAAGTGAGGCAGCATATGACCTTTTTTAACCGGATAACATCTGGGCTTTAGATTTTAGAATCTCCTACTGGGTTAGGAAGAATAGTCATATTTGATATTTAGGTATATGTAATTGTGTATTTTAGCAGAGCAAAGGGCATGTGAATTACCATTTATATTTTCAGGTGAACGTTGGGGTGCCTGCGTTGCACACCAGACTGAGGCTGGAGGTGATGGGGAGAGATTTCTTACAGCTGGACATAGTGATCTTGTACCTAAGTGGCCTGGCTGTAGTGGACTTTGCTACTTTACACTTGAGGAATTGGCACTCCTATAAAATATATACCTTTTTCTGTGTCTGTAGGTAGACGAAGTGCACCACCCTTGAACCTCACTGGCCTCCCTGGCACAGAGAAGCTGAATGAAAAAGAAAAGGAGGTAACAAAAAGAAGGGAGCTAAAGGAAAGAGAGTAGAGTTGATTATTCATTGAATTGTCATTAAAACACTTTATAGGATCCAACCCGTTTGGCTCTGCTCATGTGACATACATGTATAGCTGTAGTCTGTCCTGCAATTTAAAGAGCTGAAGAGCTAACCTCAGCAAGTTTCAGAGAATTCCTTTCCTTAGCACCCTGCTACCATTCGAAGACCATATGATGTATAAATCTAATCAAGGCAACCATCATTTATTGAGCATTACCATGTACCAAATACTTTACTAAGTGCTTCATGTGAATGAAATTAATTTTTTATTTTTTTTTTTTTTAATTTTTTTTTCAACGTTTTTAATTTATTTTTGGGACAGAGAGAGACAGAGCATGAACGGGGGAGGGGCAGAGAGAGAGGGAGACACAGAATCGGAAACAAGCTCCAGGCTCCGAGCCATCAGCCCAGAGCCTGATGCGGGGCTCCAACTCACGGACCGCGAGATCGTGACCTGGCTGAAGTCGGACGCTTAAACGACTGCGCCACCCAGGCGCCCCTGAAATTAATTTTTTATAAATCTAAAATAACTCCTATATGAAAATGTTTATTTCCTATTAGAATGGTCACTTAGATAAGTCCTACACTTATTCAAATAATATAACCTTACTTAAAAGATGTTTGGAATTGTCTCCATAGCATGTATATAAGCCGTAAAGAAAGGGCTGCATCATCATATATAATCACATACAAATTTTGATTAAAAATGCCATGTCCTACTTTTGTTTTCCACTATAATCATCAGACTCGTCTTCATATTACTTTTGGTTGTTTTAAAAATTTAAATCCAGCCTCAAGAGTCCTCTAGTATTTTCAAAAAAAATGTGCACAGTGCTGAAGTCTATTCCAAAAGAGGGGTTCCTCTTTTGCTCCTCATGTGCTCCTCTTCCAGTTCCCAAGATCAGTCTCCCCATCTGCCACTCCAGACAAGTGAGGAAGAGTCATGGAGTAGGTAGGGGCTGTTAGTCTTTTAATTTATCCCCCAGGAACAGTAAAGATTAGTTTGGGAGTAGACAGAAGTATATGTTATATTTAAGTATTGCTGAAGAAGGTCACAGGCTATTCTAAGTCAAGTATTGAATGGCCTGGGGTTTCAAGCAGTTTTTATCCTTATCCACAAACAGTGACCTCACACTGCTCATCGTCATGAGATGCTGTGGCAGGTGAACTGGAATGGAGCCAGCTTTCTAGATTTTCAGCAGCTGAAATAGCCTCTTCGCAAGGTCTCTGTATTTCCTCCTCCTCCAAAGTAGGAAATGTAATCACAAAAGCAGGGACAACTACTTTATGCTGATACTAAAAATAATGTGATTCACACTTGGGAATCCAAGTATCTGCACCCCCGCCCCTACTGTGCCTTGTGGCTCTTCCTTGACTGGCTGTGTTGGAATGTGCTGGGCCAAGAGTTGTGTGGACCCAGGCTGCTCCTCTGGACACAAACTTGGGACTCCTTGACAAACCCAGGTGAGCCAGCTGACAGGTACTAAAGGCTCTCCCAGCATCATACTCTGGTTTTCTCTTCCTGAGTGTCTGTCGTTAGGGAGTATTCTCTCCAAGGAAGAGACTAAATGGAATGTGGTCCAGCCACCCAGCAGCTCCTATAAATAGTTGGAGGTTGATGTCACTTTTTAAATTTTATTTTGGCTATACCTACTGGATTAAATTACGAGAATGACAGATGTTAATGTTTATTAAATTTGCCGTGTCTTGCAGCTCTGTCAGATGGTGAGGTTGGTCCCAGGAGCCTATTTAGAATACAAATCTGCTCTATTGAACGAATGTAACAAGCAAGGAGGCTTGAGACTGGCACAGGCAAGAGCACTCATCAAGATAGATGTGAACAAAACGCGGAAAATCTATGATTTCCTCATCCGAGAAGGATACATCACTAAAGCCTGAGGCTCTGAGGGCTTGCGATCAGAAATCACAAGTTTGGAATGTGTGGGCCAAAGGACAGTACGGGCATTCTGGAGAGTTTCATTTCTGAGCTGAATTCTCATTGTAAAAAGAGGGAAGGACAAAGGAAACCTTAAGTTGTATTAATACCTACTTTTTTCTCTGCCCTGCTTTAAAACACTCCTGTTGTTGGTATTGTGCTGCAGAGTTATGTGCTAGATAAGCTATTATTAAATGTGAGTGGGCATTTATTCCTAACACCTCTTGTAGCTAAAACAAGAACCATAGTACCTCACATCAGAGTGTTGGTAGAAATAGAAATGAACCAGTCTTTAGTCCCAGGAGTCCAGCTCAGATCTTTGTACTTGGGAGGCTGGTTTTCTGATTATCTGTTTCACCTTCAAACATTACAGAAAGATTTAAAATAAAGAGAAAGGTTATGGAGCATGAGAAAGCTTTCTCTTCTGAAGATTTCTTAAGCTGACAACTTCTGTTTATGAGCAAAGGGAAGGAAAATTTCCCCGTGATGGTCTTGTCCCAAACTACATCTTTCCCTTTAATGTCTGGCTTTGTACATTGCTGTCTGACTGTCTAATCTGCAGTAGACTTTTGAGGAGGTGGCACCGGATGTTAAAATGTCTCTGTTATTTTTAGAATTAATGGATTAAAATGTTTTGCTACTTAATTTGTGGGTGTGTCAAATATTCTGGTAACTAAAGCACACTTAGGGTGTTGAATGCCTGCCTCATCACGCTGCACTGTCTCTGCTAACATGTGTGTCCCGGAGTCACCCTGGTCTTACCGTGGGTTTCCCAGGATACCAGGCCCTTGAGGATGGAGATGACACAACTAACCTCATCTTTGCTTGGATTGAGACCTGAGCCCTGATTTCTCAATGGTGACAGGCTAGCCTGCAATAAAAGCTACTTTTAAAACAAAAGTAAAGCAGTTTCATATATGAGACTCACTAGATATGAGGGTGAGTAGCCCCACCATATCTGAAACGATCCTCAAACCTTCCTACAAAATAAGCCAAACGCAGAGTCATGGTTATTCCATTTCTGCTAGAAACAAAGCTGTATATAGAAAGAATTTCAGAATCTGCACAAATAGCCTTCAGTAGCTCACTGATTCCTTAATTCTTTCAGCATTCAACATACCTAATTAAAATATATACTTTGGTGGAAGTATTTGCTCAAACTTTTTGACTGATACAAATATGCATGCAGCTTGCTGATAGACTTATCTAGGGGGTTATAAATGAAAAGGAAACTCTTGGGGCACCTGGGTGGCTCAGTCGGTTAGGCGGCCGACTTCGGCTCGGGTCATGATCTCGTGGTCCGTGGGTTCGAGCCCCGCGTCGGGCTCTGTGCTGACAGCTCAGAGCCTGGAGCCTGTTCCAGATTCTGTGTCTCCCTCTCTCTGACCCTCCCCTGTTCATGCTCTGTCTCTCTCTGTCTCAAAAATAAATAAACGTTAAAAAAAAAAAAAAAGGAAACTCTTAGGATCAGAGGGAATTGGAATAAAGGATTTCAATCTGAAAAAGGGTGGCTTGTGGAAATGCTCTCTTTTCTTTGCATTGTCATATCTCTTAGAGAATGTACTCTTCTACCACCATCACCCCTACTTGGTTATAAAGGGATTGCCTCTTGTTCCTGAAAACTAATTCCTCTTCTAAAGTGGGGGTGCATTAGACATGGATGTCAAGTGATGTCTGTTGTAGTCCCAAGAGTCCTTAGCCTTGATTAAGGAAGGCTTCCTGAGAGAGGTGAGCTCTTGAAGCAATGAAACAATCAAGAAGAGAGAGAGAAAACGGCAGATGGAAGTGGGAGACTGTTCCAGACATGGTGGGTGGAGGACGATGTGGAGGCAGCAGTAGGAGTGAGGAAGATGGTACCAAGAGGTGTAGTTGGCTAGGACATGGGGGCAGCTGTAGTAGTTAGGAGTGGGAGATGGGAGGACAGTCTCGTAGAAACCTTGGAACCAGTCAACTCTGAAAAAACTGGGGAATCAGTTGATTTGATGAGGAAAATGGCAGAGTTGAAAACAGTGACAGTAAAATAAGGCTGTGATTTCAAATGACTGGATTTTAGAAAGTAGGATTATTACTGTGGTTAAGGTTTCTCAAGGATCAAGCCATATTTGGGGTAAAGGTTACTCTTCAGTCACTGCATCACCATCTTTGTGCATTTATAACAGAAAAGCACTTGCTGATATTAGATGTGGCTGGCTTAAGTACATTATTTTCTTCCATGTTCGTATCACCAAAGGAAGGCCTTTCTTGTTCTTAAAAATTCAGAGCTAGCAAGGGCCTTCAAAGTATATTCCATCCTTCCCCTTTGCTGCTAGATGGAGTTGGCCTTAAACCAGCTACACTAATCGAGGTCTCTCTTAGGCCGTATCATTACAAAGAGGGAACGTTTACCCTGAAATTCAATGACATCAGTAAAGACCTTTTACTGTTAGGAATTTTTATTGCAATTTAAAGGTTTCTGCTGGAATTCTGTGCATATCCTTCTTTGCCAGTGGTGAGAAATAGAGAATTTCTTCCTATGTCAAGACCCTTCCCATGCTCAAAGATCTAGACTGTCTCTCTTGAGACCAACTAACTCAATGGTTTATCTCTTTTTGGGTTCCAGTTTTTATTCTTCTTTTTAGTCTCTCCCTGCTCCCCAACCCCCCATTTAAATCTGAAGTCAGTTAACCAGTCCTTGTTGAGAGGTAAAAACAAGCTTCCAGTTTTCAGTAATGAAACCAACTTGTGGTTAGCTGGAAAGGGGAGCAAACCAATGACATTCATCAAGAACAACAGAATTCCAGGTGGTAAATCACTCTAGCTTAAGGAAATCTGTAGATCTGTAATAAGAGAACTAAACTTTCCAGTGTAAAGAATCAGAGGCCCAAATTGTAAAGAAAAGCTTGGAAAATTCATAATACTCTAACACTTGTCTCTGGGCAAGAGAGTGGTACTGTGTTCTAAACAGCATTCTGGAATACTGTCCATCTTTCAGGATATCTTTGTGAGTACCATCTAGATATACACTGTATTTTTGTTTTGTTGTGGTCTTTTGGGGGTTTTTTTTAGAGACAGAGCATGAGTAGGGGCGAAGGGCAGGAGTGGGGAGAGAGAGAGAGAGAGAGTCATGCTCCACACTCAGCGTGGAGCCCAATGCGGGGCTCAATCCCATGACCCTGGGATCGTGACCTCAGCCAAAATCAAGAGTCAGATACTCAAATGACTGAGCCACCCAGGCGCCCCTATATTATTTTAACACAAAAGGCTTTCCCACAACTATGTTTCGTTTGTCTGGATTTCTAAAAATTAAAGTTTGATTCAGGAGGTACTGATGTAGAAGTTTTGCTTTCCTTTCCAATATATCTAGCCAGATGTGGTTAACCTCTCCCTGATCTGCTGGAAAGGATCATGACTGGTACAGTGGGGCACTGTGTGGCCTTGTGTAGAAGCTAAGACAGAATTTCTCTTCAAGCAGACACAATAACCTCTTCTGAGCACAACGTAGTAAGGGAGATTGAACAGGATCTCCATGTGCAAGCAGAGTCAGAGCAGCCTGGCTAGGGAGTAATGGGCGTGCTGATATTGGCACTTAATTTGGGAGAACAGTAGGGAGCATTTAGTGAGTGTTTTGGAAAGAAGCCTATCCGTGAAGTATGCATCAGAACTTAGTTTGCTGCTTTTGAGTGGTTGGGGGCTGGGGGGTGGGGACACAGGTGAATCATTCCTGAGTAGTCTGGAAGGCCAGTTTCTAAATCTAATGGGAGGGAGTTCTTTTCCTGTTCAGTTTTGCCTACTGCCTTGGCTTCTGTCAGGAGTACCTCCGCCCCCAGCAACTGCCTTGATAAGAATATCAAATGCCCTTTGATTTGACTGACCAGGCTTACAAGTCAAGAGACAGGTATTTAAGGGAATGGTGAATGTCTTAACATCTGGCATTAAAATTCCTTTGTCACTATGAGTTACTTGCATGTTATGTATTGTATGCTGGGCCCTCTTCCCGGTTAGGAGTAAGAATAATAAGGAAGTTGAGATAAGAATCCAGAAAGTGACCATCAAAAGGTTTAAAACCCCAAACTGAGAGCTACAAAAATTTTTGATTTAATAGATGTACCTCCCTTTGTCTTTGCAAGCCCTGTAGTTACCCTTTGCCGGCCCAGGCTTGTTTCCTGTCTTTTAGGACTGGATAATTAAGTCTGGTGTGCTCATTTTCTACTTTGGAGCACAGGAGGCAGACTTCTGTGGCACCACACTAATTATTTGGTGGAATTAATCTCATTCTTAACCAAGCAACACTTTTTCAGCTTGCTCTGGTTTCCCCTGAGGTCTTAACGTGACAGAAAGCTTCCAGGTACCTTGCTGACAATCCTGCCTTGGTGCAGGTTATGTTGAACAGAAGTAGCATTTTAGGAAGTGTGGAAAGGAGAAGACCTCATAGTTGTTTTAAGAAACCAACATTTTATTAATCAAAGTAAAAATGCTGAAATGCTGTCATCTTATCACCTGTCTTCGGTGAACCGACAGCCAAGTGCCAACTCGTGACACTTCTAATGCATCTCTCTTCTTGGGGAGCTGTCTGCCAAGTGTATTCTCTGTTTCTGAAATTGTTTGCAATGACCTAACCTGTTTTCTCCCATTTAACAATGGATAACTCCTTATTTGGATTTCCCCCTCCTATTTAGCACCCTTCATTCAGAGAATTCCTTAAAAACCCAACATTTAATATTTTAAGAAATAAAACATTAATGGAACCTGCACTGTGGGGCTTAATTTTAATATTCCCAATCAATGTCTCCTGTGAGAAAACTGGTATTGAATTGGGGCTGTTTTATGTTTTATTGCCCTTTCCAATCTTAGGAGGTTGTCTAAGATGAGAAGGGCAGTTTTCAAGGGTAATTTAATAGCCTTCCCCCCGACAAAATACTGAAAAGGAGTGAAAAGTTTAGAAATGCCGTGAAGACACTAGCTCCCAAGTACCAGCGGCCTTAGA